GATCAATTATACACTGTGATGAAAAAATTTTACTGTCTTCCGGTGTGCCCAGTTTCTCCTAAATTAAAAGAATTTATATGAACTGATTTTTTCTGGTTTTTATACTTGTGTAGCCTTTTAATAATTCAGTAAAATTAAATTTTTTGCAATGGTACTTTTAATTGAAATTAATGCGAGTCCTAACAAATGATTTTGAGACATGGTGGGTCTCAAATAATTTTTTAGTAATTTCAGTTTTGAGAAACTGCACTCACCAAAAGCCACTGATACTGGTAATGTTAAAAGAATGCATAATACTATAGCAGTGTTTGGAGTGAAAAAATAATTTCTTGCTATAAATTCTAATACTTTTAGAGAAGTTTTAGGACTTATTAGCTCAGATAAAGCTATTAATTCATCATACAATTCTACTCCATCAATGTCAGCAGCGTTATCAGTACTGAGTGCTAAATGTAGGTCCTGGCAGTGCTTCATGAGGTCTTCTTTAGAAAACTGATTTTTAATATTTCCAATATCGTATAAAAATTCAAAAGTTTCACAAAGACCATGCCACTGATAAAATCTTTCCTCATGAAGGGGACTCAGACACATTTCAGTAGCAGTTAGGAATTAACAAAAATTATCAGGAGTATGGAATGGCTGCAATATAAGGAAAGATTAATAAGACTGGGACTTTTCATTATGGAAAAGAGACAACTAAGAGGGGGAAATGATAGAGGTCTATAAAATCAAGACTGGTGTGGAGAAAGTAAATAAAGAAAAGTGATTTACTTGTTCCCACAACACAAGAGCCAGGGGTCACCAAATGAAATGTATAGGTAGCAAGTTTAAAACCAACAAAGTATTTCTTCCCTCAATGCAGTCAGCTTGTGGAACTACTACATAGGATGCTGTGAAGACTAGGACTTTAACAGGGTTCAAAATTGAGTTAGATAAATTCATAAAGGAAAGGTCCATCGATGGCTATTAGCCAGGATGGGTAGGAATGGTGTCCCTAGCCTCTGTTTGTCAGAAGCTGGGAATGGGTGACACGGGGTGGTTCACTTCATGGATTACCTAGAATCATAGAATCATAGAGCTGGAAGAGACCTCAGAAGGTCATCAAGTCCAGCCCCCTGCTCTAGGCAGGGCCAATCCCAACTAAATCAACCCAGCCAGGGCTTTGTCAAGCCAAGACTTAAACGCCTCTAGGGATGGAGACTCCACTACTTCCCTAGGTAACCCATTCCAGTGCTTCACCACCCTCCTAGTGAAATAGTTTTTCCTAATATCCAACCTGGACCTCCCCCATCCCAACTTGAGACCATTGCTCCTTGTTCTGCCATTTGTCACTACTGAGAATAGCCTCTCTCCGTCCTCTTTGGAAGCTCCCTTCAGGAAGTTGAAGGCTGCTATTAAATCCCCCCTCACTCTTCACTTCTGCAGACTAAACAGATCCAACTCCCTCAGCCTCTCCTTATAGGTCATATGCTCCAGCTCCCTAATCGTTTTGGTTGCCCTCCGCTGGACCCTCTCCAATGCGTCCACATCCTTTTTGCAGTGGGGGGCCCAGAACTGAACACAATACTCCAGATGTGGCCTCACCAGAGCCGAATAAGGGGAATAATGACATCTCTGGATCTGCTGGCAATGCTCCTCTTAATGCACCCTAATATGCCATTAGCCTTCTTGGCTACAAGGGCACACTGTTGATTCATATCCAGCTTCTCATCCACTGTAACCCCCAGGCCCTTTTCTGCAGAACTACTACTTAGCTGGTTGGTCCCCAGCCTGTAACAATGCTTGGGATTCTTCCGTCCCAAGTGCAGGACTCTGCACTTGTCCTTGTTGAACCTCATAAGATTTCCTGTGGCCCAATCCTCCAATTTGTCTAAGTCACTCTGGACCCTATCTCTGCCCTCAAGCGTATCTACCTCTCGCCCTAGCTTAGTGTCATCTGCAAACCTGCTGAGGGTGCAATCCATCCCATCATCCAGGTCATTAATAAAGATATTGAACAAAACCGGTCCTAGAACCGAACCTTGAGGCACTCCGCTAGAAACCGACTGCCATCCTGACATCCAGCCATTGATAACTACCTACTGGGCCCAGCCTTCTTATTCATCTTACCGTCCATTTATCCAATCCATATTCCCTTAACTTGCTGGGAAGAATATTGTCTATAAATTGTTCTATTCATTCCCTCTGGAGCACCTGGGATTGGCCTGTCAAAAGACAGGATACTGGGCTAGATGGACATTTGATTTGACCCAGTATAGCTATTATTATGGTCTTATATTAACTTTGAGGATTTGGATCCAGGGAGGGGGGGCAAAGATTTATCTCTTCATGTATATTTGCACCATGGTTAGTACAGCAGGGTCCTGATTTCAGTTGCAGCCTGAAATGAGGGCAATGTTCAAAGACTGGACATTCCCCCAGGGATCAGAGTGGGTAGAATGAAGAACAAACAGGTCACAAATTTACCTCCAGTCTGGCACCTGCTTGTCAGTATGAACTGACACTTGGTCAAGGTGAACTCAAGGCTTCTGCTTCCTGCAGCAGACTGAAGAGCCGACGGGGGTTCTGTAAGATTACAATTGGAGAGGCGACCACGGCTCTGAGAAGAGGGAAGGAAGGTCGCTTCCTTCACCGCCCGCCCGCCCGCAGCAGATCGGGGACCTTTCCGCTTTTGGACAACAGCTACCCCTAGTGGCGAGGACTCGGTTCCCTCTCTCCCCTCTCGCTGATTTCATGCTGTCAACAGGTCTGGGAACGAGAAGCAGCAGCGGTCAATAACCTGGCAAGCACCCCTGGCCCGTCTCCCAGGACAGACCCCCCGGCGGCTGCAGCTCGGCAAGGCTGTTAGCAATCGCTCCCCAGCCAAGAGGCTGGTTCACGGCTCATGGAAGACGGAGCAAGAGCTAAACGCCCCGTAACCAAACGCTCCTGCTGGAGATGGTCCCTTCCAGGGCCAGCCCTCTAGCGTGGACAAGGCAGAAGCCCCCGTGTGCCACCCCCGACCCAGCAAAGGGGAGGCCATTGCCCCGCGCCTCCGCTGGTCGGTCCGGCTGCAGCTTCTGGATCCTGAAACAGGAGGAGACAGGGCAGAGAAAATGCATCAATACTGGCGCTCGATAGCAGGGAGCTGCTGGCCCTGCCTCGGGGCAGCAAGGTCGTGTCTCCCGGCAGCACCTATAGCGAACACTCCCGCTGCCCCCACACGTGCGCCGTGGCCCCCCCCTCAGTGCTGCACTGTCCCCGGCCGGGTGTGCTGCCTGCTATCTGCCTCTGGAGCCCGGCCGCGTCCTGGCTTCCTGCGCCATGGCACATCCCTTGCAGCTCAGGGTGGGGCTCCAGCCTCGCTGTGTATTTTTAGGTCACTGGCGCGGAGGGGTAGGTAATCCCCAGGCTTCAGTTCCAAAGGGGCGGGGTCCAGCTGGAGCTGGAGTCACTTTTCGTTTAAATCCCTGACTATAAAATGGGCTTAAAGAGAAGCGGGAGCTCAGCTGAGCTGCAAGGAGCCCGGCAGGCAGGCGTGCGTGGAAGGGGGCGAGAGCCGGTGTAGCGAGCAAAACACTAACTTCTCAGAATTTGCTACTTTGGGTGCACTGAATTTGTGACCCATGGACCAGGAGCAAAAGGCCCCCGCCCAAGGCAAAACACCAGCATCCCCTGAGTCCGTTAGCCAGGAGGTAGCAAATTGAGAGATTTTTCTACCAAAAAACACAGTCCCTCTGAATTTGCAACCAGCCAGCAAAGGTAGCAATTCCTGAGCAGTTATACCGAATGTCATGTTTGTTTGACAGAAACTGTGACTGTCACAAAAACGGAGCGGTTTCACTTTTTGCCTATACACCTGAGCCCAGCAGCCCTCACGATGCTCCACTCCCTCGGCTTTCACACCTTGTAGCTGCTCACACAGGCTACTGCCTGTTTCCTCCTGCTGCCCCGCTTCCTGCTCACCGTGCTGATGCTCTGGCTCCTGGATTTTCTGTGCATCGGGAGGAAGGCGCTGCTGATGGGCAGGGCGGAGGAGGCAGGCAGCCCTGGCCAGGAGCCACCCCCTGACAACCCTCCGGTCGGCGTGTCTGACTCCAACCGCATGTTCACCCTGGAGTCCCTGAAAGCCGTGAGGCACAGGCAGAAGCTGGACTTCTGCCCCCAACCCGGAAGTCATCCAGCTGGATGGGCAAAAGCGACTCCAGATCCTTGACTATGCCCAAGGCAACAAAAATCAACAAACTTTTCTCAGCCAGACCAAAATATGGAGTTTTACATAGATGTTTGATGGAGAAAAGTTGGAAATTCAGCCCCAGAAAAATCGGCGGGGTGGGGCTGGGCATTGCTGGGGGCAGCTGCTTACCTGGAAATGCCACCCCTGGAAATGTGCCTCCCTAAGCACCTGCTTGATTTGCTGGTGCCTAGAGCTGGCCCTGCCTTCACCTCTTCTCATCTGCGCTGTGGCAGGATCTCTCAAATTGCGCCAACCTCTCACGGATTACCACTCTCCATTGGGGACAAGATTCTCCCAAGTATCAACACCGATACCACACTATTTCATGTTTGCTTTCAACATGTCCTTAAATCGCTTTCTCTGGCCCCTAATGCTCCTCTGTCCTTCCTTCAGCTCAGAAAACAGAATCTGTTTTGGGAGGCACTGATCAGGCAACTGGACCATGTGACCAGTCCAGCAAAGTTGTTGGTAGATGACGATAGCTCCTATGCTGTCATGTTTGACTCTTCCAGGATGCTAGTGTTCATGTGCCTGTCCTACCAAGGGATATTTAGGATTCTCCTGAGACAGCATTGAAGATATTGCTCAAGAGCCTTCTTGTCCAAGTTTCACATGCATACAGCAGTGTTGGAACAACCACCGCATGGTACATAAAGAGCTTTGTCTTGGCACTGATGTCCTAGTTCTCAAAGATCCTTCATCTCAGACAGGCATAAGCGGAGCTTGCGCAGCTCTGGCGATGCTGGATTTCTGCATCAAAGTCGACTTTGGTACAGCATTGAAGATATTGCTCAAGAGCCTTCTTGTCCAAGTTTCACATGCATACAGCAGTGTTGGAACAACCACCGCATGGTACATAAAGAGCTTTGTCTTGGCACTGATGTCCTAGTTCTCAAAGATCCTTCATCTCAGACAGGCATAAGCGGAGCTTGCGCAGCTCTGGCGATGCTGGATTTCTGCATCAAAGTCGACTTTGGTGTAGAGATGATTTCCAAGCTATGGGAAATGCGCCATATTTTCAAGCAATTCTCTGTTGACATTAATAGATGGTACATGAGATTGTCCTGTTGGCAAGGGTTGATGGAGCACCTTGGTCTTTTTGATGATCGGTGTGAGCCCGAGATTCTCGTATGCTTCAGCAAAGGCTCTTAAGATGGTCTGAAGAGCTAAGAGGGAAACAGCAGTGGCCATATTGTCATCCGTGTACTGGAGCTCCATGATTGAAGTTGTGGAGGTCTTGCTTTTGGCCTTCAGTCTCCTGAGCTTGAGAAGCTTCCCATTCATTCTGTAGACAATCTTCATGCTATCTGGAAGCTTGCCATCAATGAGATGAAAGGTCTTGGCGATGAAGATGCAGAACAGCGCTGGGGCAATGATGCAACCTTGTTTGGTTCCTGTTTTGACTTCAAAAGGGTGACTTTGGGATCTGTTGTTGCTCAGCACTATGGCAGTCATGTTGTTGTGAGGCAGCCTCAGGATGCTGATGAATTTTTTGGGACAACCGATCTTTGAGAGGATGGTATACAAACACCTTGGCCAGGTTGATGAAACTCATGTATAAGGCTTGATTATGTTTGCAACATTTTTCTTGCAATTGCCAAGCGGTGAAGATCATGTCAACCATTCCTCGGAATGGCCGGAAGGCTCACTAGGATTCTGGAAGAATTTCTTCTGAGAGTTGCAAGAGTCAATTGGCAAGGATTCGAGCTACGATTTTCCCTGCCATTGCCAGGAGGGAGATGCCGCGATAGTTTCCACATTCCAATGTCACCCTTCTTGAAGAGACAGATGATCAGTGTGTCTCTGAACTCTTGCGCTACCTGCTCCCTATTTCAGATTTTGAGAATCGGGAGATAGAGTTGTTTGTGGAACTCTGGCCCGCCTTCTTTGAAGACTTCGGTGAAGATTCTGCCTAATCCAGTTGCATTGTTGCTCTTCTTTGCATTGATGGCAGCTTAGACCTCATTCAGGGTAGGAAGTATTGCAAGATTGTCCCTATGTTGTTGCTGAGGGATTTGGTCAAGGGATTCTGGGACCATGGTGGAGGGATGGCTCAGAAGCTCGTAAAAGTGCTCCCTCCAGTGAGAAGCAATGGCTTAATTGTCTTTCAAGAGTTGGGTACCATCGTTTGATCTCAATTGTAATTACAGTTCAGTTGACACAGACAGGGTTCTTAAAATATGCTTTCAATTTAAATAGGATAGGAAGGGTTTTTTAGGTGTTTGCTGCTGTAATTTCCAAACTCGGCCCATCTACATGGGAGGATATAGAAAAGACAGGTTCTTCAAATATAGTAGACTTCTCTAAGGCCCATTTCTGTTGTCCACACAAGTCTGTAACTCTCTGTGATAAGCTTGCCTGGCCTATAGGGCCAGTGTGGGGAATATTACTAATTGACCAATTAAGCATGCAGTAGGGGAAGGGATGTAGCCTACAAGGAGGCCTACTAATCAGAGACAGTTGCAATTGGGCAGGAACAAGAGACTATAAAAAGCCCAGGAGATGCAAGAAAGTAGACAGTAGTCACTCCTTGAGCGAAGGGAGAGTGGGGCAGCAAATCCAAGGAGAAAAGCAAGCCAGTTACACAGGAAGAAGCCCAGGGAAACAGTGGTAAGAGCTAGGATAGCACAGGCTTGGCTGCATATTATAGGGTCCCTGGGCCAGAACCCACGGCAGAGGGTGAACCTGACACAGAAGATTGGAGATGTCAGATGAACAGCTAATCTGGAAGGAGTGTGACTTCACTGGGAGGGGAGGAACTTAATGGTGGGTCAAACAACAAACCAGCACTCCTGGAGGGAGAGAGAGGCTACCGACAAAGAAAGTGATTAGAAAGACTGCTGAGGAGGACAAAAGACCTAGAGAGCTGACCTGCAGGACGGCCAGAAGGAGGTGCTGAGAGTGGTGAGGGAACTCTGTCACACTCGCTCTGAATCATAGAATCCTAGGGATAGAAGAGATCTCAGAAGGTCATCGAGTCCAGCCCCCTTCCCAAAGCAGGACCAACCCCAACTAAATCATCCCAGCCAGGGCTTTGTCAAGCCGGGACTTAAAAACCTCTAGGGATGGAGATTCCATCACCTACCTAGGTAACCCATTCCAGTGCTTCACCATCATCCTAGTGAAATATTTTTTCCTAATATACAATCTAGACCTCCCCCACTGAAACTTGACACCATTGCTCCTAGTTCTGTCTTCCGTCACTACTGAGAACAGCCTTTCTTCTTCCTCTTTGGAACCTCCCTTCAGGAAGTTGAAGGCTGCTATCAAATCCCTCCTCACTGTGCTCTTCTGAAAACTAAACAAACCCAAATCCCTCAGTCTCTCCTCATAGGTCATGCGCTCCAGCCCCCTAATCATTTTGGTTGCCCTCCACTGGACCTTCTCCAATGCATCCACACCCTTTCTATATTGGGGGCCCAGAACTGGGCGCAATACTCAGATGTGGCCTGAAGCTAATGGGAATTTTGCATGAGTAACTGGGAAGCCCTAAAATTATTGTCCTCATTCAGAACAAAATCTGGAAACACTTTTATATTAAATAAAAGATTACAGTTTTTAAAAGAATGCCAAATTATTGTATTTCAGACCTCTATTTGATACTTTTGTATTAAATGATCTGGCTTTAGAATACCACACTGTTTTAAACACCATTTAACCACTTGGTACAGGCTGAATTCCATTAAGTGGAATTTATACTAAATGTCTTGAATTAATCTGCACTTTACCATTCCCTAGATTTCTGATTAAAACATCTTTGTATAAAGCACTTGATCAGGATACATACTTTTGGGGATTTTCTGCTAGGGGACAACTGGAAAACTAGAGTTCCTAATTGGTTCCTTTTTATCTGTATAAGAACTGAATTATGATGGTATGATGGATAGGAGGAGTGCTGGCCAGCACTCGGTGACTAAAGGGTTAAACTCAGGTAGCTAAAAGGTATTGGCCAAAAGCCAGGAAAGCCAATGGCAGAAGGTTTTGCAATTTAAATTGAAAGATATACTAGACTGCTTTTTCCTTTGTGGAGTTCTAAGCTAGGAGCTGTGGGAAGCAAGATGAAGTAATCAGACAGAATTACCATGCCTACAAGGAATATTGGGCATGCGAATGAACTGGTCATGAAGTATGGATTAGTACAGATTGTGAGTAAATAGAGAAATGTATGTTTAGTCAGGATTAGGTTATTTTTCTTTGTTTTGTTGTTTGATTAAATTTCTCTGTACTAAATCCATGTATCCCTCTCCCCATTCACTATATCTAAGTTGCACCCAGATATACAAGGTTTCTGTGTGTTTTAAATTGTCCTTTTCTCAGTTGCTCTGTAAGACCTAGCAACCAAGTATGTTTTATCAAGTATAACTTTTTGTTTTGTTAATAAAATCACCTTTTTAAGGTGATGATTTGATTCTTCAAAAGCGGCGAGGAGTCCTGTGGCACCTTATAGACTAACTGAAGCATAAGCTTTCATGGGCAAAGACCCACTTCGTCAGATGCATGTAGTGGAAATTTCCAGATTTGATTCTTGTGTCCTGGAAGGTAACTGGAGGTCTATGTATGTGTACCTAAGAGTGAAAGGTCAGCTATCAGAAATTGCAGTTTGTTTTCTGTTTTTCTCAAGCTCTCTTGTGATAAAAGAGCTTGGAGTTACCCAAATTCAAGTGCTTCTTCCTGGGTTTCAGAAGAAAGGGTTTTGTTTTTACACTTGATGGTGGCAGCTTCCTCACAAGTGCAGGAAATCTGTGACCTTGGGAAGTTTGTGTAAGCAGAAACCTACAGAGGCAAGATATTTAAGGTCTCTTGTGGGCCCCCACCTTCTGCACTTGGAGTGACACAGTGGGGAACAGTCTTGACAGATGGAAAGAAATAAAGGAAGGCTGCCAAGCTTTGTATATATTCTGCACTTTTCCATTGCTAGCCCATGCAGTCCTTACTTTTTCCTTTCTACAAATATAACAATATTTAAAATGCAAGGTGGTGGGGAAGAAAGGCCCACTAATTAAGAGAAAAGTCTCTGCACTGCAACATTTGCTACAGAGCCTGCGAGCTTAAACTGTGAGGAAGAGAAGCAATCTTCATATTCCTCAGTGCTGAACTTAGGGTGTGTCTGCACAGCACAGTTATTTCAAAATAACCGACGTTATTCCAAAATAACAATGTGAGCATCTACACAGCAATTTCTTATTTTGAAATAATTTCAAGATAATGGACATCTTATTTCAAAATCTGTAAACTTCATTCCATGAGGAATAAATTCCTATTCCTAAATAGCTATTTTGGAATAGCTGTAGTGTGCATGCTCCTCCTCCACAGGGCCATTCAAAGTAATTCCTCCCCAGTGCCTCCTGAGGCTCTAAATCGAGGTAACACATCCACATTAGGGAAGCCTGCCTTGGACTAATTTTGAGGCTTCCCTGTAGTGTAGACGTACTATTTCAAAATAAGCTATTTTGGAGTATGTCTTCTGGAATAGCCTATTTCAAAATAAGTGTGCAGTGTAAATGTACCCTCAGAGAACAATCAAGCAATTGTGAAGATAGATGTTAGCAAGACTGATGAAGTCTTCCTTGCATAGGAAGACAGTGCTGGTGATTTGTGGGCTTGAGCAGTGGGACTGGACTGAAAAAAAAATAGGGGAAATCCTTAAAGGTGGTTTTGCAAGACGCAGAAAGATGAAAACATAAAACCTGAATATAATATGTTATATTATATATGGCTGATAAAGAAAAGTTATTGAGGTCTATAAAATCATGAGTGGTGTAGAGAGGGCTGATAAAGAAAAGTTATTTATTAGTTCCCATAATAGAAGAACTAGAGGACACCAAATGAAATTAATGGGTAGCAGGTTTAAAACTAATAAAAGAAAGTTCTTCTTCACACAGCGTGTTGTCAACCTGTGGAACTCCTTGCCAGAGGAGGCTGTGAAGGCTAGGACTATAATAGAGTTTAAAGAGAAGCTGGATAAATTCATGGAGGTTAGGTCCATAAAAGGCTATTAGCCAGGGGATAAAATGGTGTCCTTGGCCTCTGTTTGTCAGAGGCTGGAGAGGGATGGTAGGAGACAAATCGCTTGATCATTGTCTTCGGTCCACCCTCTCTGGGGCACCTGGTGCTGGCCACTGTCGGTAGACAGGATACTGGGCTAGATGGACCTTTGGTCTGACCCAGTACGGCCGTTCTTATGTTCTTATGTTAATCATAATGGGCCTGTCACTGACTCCACAGAGGACCTTGATTAAACTCCCATATACTTCAGTAGGAGCAGGATTCAGAACAAGCTATGATTTTATGTTTAATAAGTAATGCCTATGTAATGGTGAACACTGATAGCAACTCTGACTCATCTTGCTGAACTTAAAAAACAACAAATGGTCTGGTAGCACTTTATAGGCTAACAAAACATGTAGATGTTATCATGAGCTTTTGTTGGCACAGCCCACTTCTTCAGATGACTGGGCGGTGCCCACGAAAGCTCATTATACCATCTACAGGTATGTTAGTCTACAAAGTGCTACCAGATCATTTGTTGTTTTTTAAGTTTATCCTGTACAGACTAATTCGGCTACCCCGTGAAGTTTCATCTTCCTGAGTTTTCTGTGATTTGTTTAGTACCATTTACTTCTGGGCTGAGACAGGAGGAATGGCTCCTTACCTATGGCTATTACCTATTACCTATGGCTATCTCAGGGTAATTTAAGATCCAGGTAGAGCTCAGAGTTCCTTGTACCATTCCTCCTTGGAAATCACTCACCCATCATTCACATGAGTTTCACAACATGGTAAGATAATGCTGATAAAGTCAGCCCTGTCTTAAACAGAATTCCCATATGGCTGGCTCTGAATGGCTACGTCTAGACTGGCATGATTTTCCGGAAATGCTTTTAATGGAAAAGTTTTCCGTTAAAAGCATTTGCGGAAAAGAGCATCTAGATTGGCACGGACACTTTTCCACAAAAGCACTTTTTGTGGAAAAGCGTCCGTGCCAATCTAGATGCGCTTTTCTCCAAAAAAGCCCCAATCGCCATTTTCACAATCAGGACTTTTTTGCGCAAAACAAATCTGAGCTGTCTACATTGGCCCTTTTGCACAAAAGATTTGCACAAAAGGACTTTTGCCCAAACGGGAGCAGCATAGTATTTCCGCAAGAAGCACTGATTTCAGACAGTAGGAAGTCAGTGTTCTTGCGGAAATTCAAGCAGCCAGTGTAGACAGCTGCTTTTGCGGAAAAACTTGCCAGTCTAGACACAGCCAATATGTTCAGGGGAGATTTCTGCAGGAACAGTAACAAACTTACTGTCTTTTCTTCCTTTTATGCCCCATAGCACATTCAGCCAGATTTGGCTCACCTCTTCTAATTGTATAATCACAAATTTCATTTTACATAGTAACCTGGAAGTCCCCAACACACCATCTAGACACTGATTACAGTTTGTTCTGCTGCGTATGAAAAACTTCTCTTGGCTTTGGTAGACATTATGTACAAATATCTGGGGACAGAATTTTACCCTGTATACACAGGGGTTACTCATCCATCACTTAAATGCTGCCAATTATGGGTATTGAAAGTTAGCTTCTGCAATGCACCACAGTTTCTTGGAAAGGAAATTTCTCCACCTTAAATTTCCTAAGGAATATAGAATGCTAAAATAATTACACAAGATGGGCTTGGGTCAGACTATAACTAGCAAAATAAAAGTGGGATAATTTTAGAACTATGTTCTATTGACATTAATGGAAGCTGGGAAGAACTGAGCACTTACCAGGACCGAGCACTCAGTTATGTATTTGTTCAATGCTGACTCTAAGCACACTAGCCACTGAACCACTAACAAGACTTTCTGCACTTTTCCCTAGAAGTCTCCTACCCAGGCCTAAATCTGCTTTCCTGATGTAATCAGTTTACAGCTGAAGATGATGCAGAGCTCATTGCTTGTCTTGTACCATGGAAAATTAATTTCTTCTTTGGTAAGGGACAAAAATATAATGAAAGGTATTTTAATACTTGTATATTGTATGGAGAAGCCTGATTTTATAAGGAACTTTGAACAATATAGTATATCTTCATGTCTGCTATTATGAACATAATTTATCCCACCCCAAATTATTGCAGTTTCCCCTTTTCATCTTTGTAAATGCTAATATTTCTTATATTTCTACAATGTTTTTGTGTACTTACATTTGCTATAGGTTAGATCAAAATCCTGATAGTTTTAAAAGTTTATTTTCATTATTATATTAAATTTGTCTGACTTGACTACACATACGGACTCCTCATTAAAAATAGTGAATTTCTTAATGAATCACGTTTTAATATTTTAAAAAAATACTGCACCTCCATATAGCTTTTTCACTTGTAAGTAAGTCAAAAGTACTACAATAAATCTACTAGATGATTTACCTCTACTAGAACTTTGCATGAGTAATATGAAATCCTGTATTAATTGCAAATAACTTTTTAAAAGAGGGGTACTTATTCAAAACATTTATGCTGCCTCTACTAGAATTTGAGTTTGACTGCTGTGGCCTTTCTAGGTCAGTTATAAATTGTGATCAGAGACCAGATAATGTAGGGGCTTGATCCTCAAAGTTGTTGAGGCCCCGAGTTCAGCGTTTCTGAAAATAAGTCCTGTTAATTATACCAATTCCCTTGTCAGTGAACTAAACGAGCTGCTCTGTTAAACTGAGAGCATCTGCAGGAATGAAACAACAATTAAATGTTGTACTGGGAAATCTGAGGAATGTGGCAATTGAAATCATGTCAATTAAACTGCTCACTCTGAACCACTGTCCCGCCTTTAGTAGCAAATGGTCTGTTTTGAAGCAACACAAAGGTCAGCGGGCTGTCTCCATTATACACACAGAGCCAAATTCTGGCCTCCGCTGAAGTCAGTAGCGTTGCATACACCTGATAACGGCAGTATTTCAGCCCTTTGTGTGGTGCAGTTACAGACCTTACCACATCCATTGGGGGGAGGGGGGAGGAAAGGCAAGCAGAGGCCATGCAAGTACTTAATTTAAAAACGCTCTGTTTTGTAACCTACGTGCCACCGGCCGCTCCCATCCCAGTCAAATCAGCGTGTAGCCTACCCGCAGAGCCTTTGCCGACGCGCTGAAGCAACGTACGCAGCCTTTGCGCCAGGAACAAATGGGAATCTGGCTTGAGCAGTACAGATACAACGCTAGCGGCGCAACCCCTCCTCCCGCCTCCCACCCCTACGCTCACTTACATGAACGCGAGCAAAATTATTAGTCTAGACCGGTCTGCGGGGGCCAGGCCGGGGTTACGGGACAAGATGCACCGGAACTAACAGCCCAGTACATTGGGTGAGGGGCTGGGGACAGGTCCCGTGGACTTCCGAGTCTGCAACTTTGACCAAGCTGGAAGAAACGACTTACAGCGCTTTGCAGCCCGGCAGTGCCCGCTGTCTCTCGCCAGCCCCCCACCAGGGCCTCCTCCGCAGCCTCCGGTTTCCATCTGAGCAACACCAGGTCCTGGGAATGTTAGCGAGAGGCGGCGGCGGCAGCCCCCGTTGACATTGGCGCCGGTGGGGCCATTTTGAGCAAACGGTGCGGCGCTGAGTGAAATCAGAGGCAAGGGCGGCACAGGGCTCTAGGGATGCATTAGCCATGGCCAACAAGAGCAACACAAGCCCTCCAGTTCCTGTATTTCCTAGTCACTTTCTGCACGCCGTTTGCTTCTTATTCCAAATACCCATCAAACACATCCAGCTCGCTGTCCGTGTCATAGAGCACCGAGCCAGGATCTGACAGCACCCCCAAATCCACCAGAGCCTGGTCCATGTCTTCAGGCAGGAACACGATCCCTACATTGAGGACGATGTACTCCATCAGGAAGGCATAGTAGAGAATCAGCACATTGACAAAGAACAAGCCCACGTAAAACATATAGGGCAGGACCAGCAGCGCATGGAAGGCCCAAGACTCCAGCGAATCCAGATGTGCGGAGACTGCGGCGGGCATACAGCTGTGCGGTGCAGAGCTGCCGCGGCTCCCCAGAGCCTGGGGCCCGCCGGCTGCTGGCGCTGGCTGCCAGATGTGCAGAGCCAGCAAGCTGAGGGTGGCCGCGCAGATTAGCTGAAGGTGCTGCGTGGCGGCGGGCGCCCAGCTGTGCGGGGCGTGTGGGGGGTTCAGTCCACCACACAGCTTCACACAGAGCAGAAGGTAAAATAGAAACCTGGAATTCGTAATAAGTAACCCGAGACTGGGGTGGGTGGGACGTTCCTTCCACCCGCAAGGGGAGCAGGAA